TGGAGCACTCAACAAGGCTCGTAGCCCAAACTTCTGGATCAACACATCTATACGACGTATTTGCGGTGTTATTGGACCCCTTTACATTCAACCTAAGATTGAATATGTCATCTCAGCGGAGAATCCTGCCGACCCTATATCTCGCGGAATATTAGGATCAAGGGATACGAAACTCCCACTTGCTTTTACGCTCCCGCAGGAGCTGGATGATATTCTTATTTATGTTTAGGTATTGAATGCTCATATATTATCTCATTACGAATATTCTGATGAACAATCTGTCAAATTTATTAGGCTGCCACCAGAATTTGCGCTAGCCGATTCTAGCACGAGCAAGGTGCTTCCACGAGTGCCCGCTGCTCCAATATTACCACATATCCATACTAATCCCAAATCTACGGCACCTATTATCCCAACATTCCTTACTCCGTATATCCCTTCTACATATCCAACAGCTCCGAAGAACAACCCGAATCCTACACCGACCCCACGTCACCCTCTCCCGGACGCGAATACAGGCCTTCCGACTTACGAAAACATTCTATGGCTACCAAACGACTACACACTTGGACGTCTCCCTGGGCAGTTGAAAACTGTCAAGTCCATGCCGCGGGCCTCCATTCCGCCGCTCGGTATTCCGAAGATCTGCTCTTTATTGTAATCTCACTCTTATTGTTCTTTCTCGCTACACATACCCTTTCGTTCTAGTCCCTCCTTATTGTCTTTTACTTTACCCTGCAGGTACTACTCGTATAGCTCCTAGTAGTTAGTCTGGCGCTCCGCTCCGCTGCGCCGTTCCGTAGATATAAATACTGCCTGTACGCTACTGTAGTTCCTCACTTTAATTATCGACTTAGATTCCCTCCTTAACTCTGTGCTCCTCTAAGTCTTCAGGCTCTCCGCCTTGAAGTACTCTCTACGATAACCTTAGAACTTAGACATTCTCTGGTTCGCTCCTCGTCACCGGCGATACCGCCGCTCCGACTTGGCTGCTACTCAGTTCCTCCCTTCTCTACTCTCAATCTCCGGGGACTAACGGCGTAACGGTGGTGTTGTTAATAACTTCACTACTGTCCCACTCGTCTTCCGCACTTAGACACCTTGTGGCCTTGGCACGGTTACACGGTGTACATGATCTTAACAAAAACCGACAACGTTTATCTGAATCCCTCCCACTATCAGTTATCGAAGATGCACATAACGCTGTGCAAAAGTCCCTGGCACCAAACACTTTAGCTTCGTACGTGGCGGGCCCTTTACGTTTCATTCAATATTGCGATTCTAGGGAAATCCCAGAAGAGGATCGTATGCCCGCCCATCCCATGCTTATTGCAGGTTTCGTCGGCCATCATATGGGCAAGGTCTCAGGCAGTTGTATCAAGAATTGGCTCTCGGGTTTACGTGCATGGTTCGAGTATTCAGGTGCTCAATGGCCGAGTGATTCACCAGAAATAAGGATGGCTCGGAAGGCAGCGAAGAAGGAAGGAACAGCCCACAAACAGCCCATACGACATCCTATTACACTCGCCCATTTATTTCGCACCATAGATACTTCAAACACATTCCATTGTGCTATATAGGCCCTGGCTTTGGTTACTTTCTGGGGATGCCGTCGACTCGGGGAGCTCACTATCCCTTCGCGCAACGCTTTCGATCCCAAGTTTCACGTGTCACAAAATATGAAGAACGTTAATTGGAATGACCATGGGGGCAATCCTTCAGTCCATATTCAGCTGCCTTGGTCAAAGTCTACTCGCAAAGATGGTACGAACGTGGTTGTAACACGTCGCGGAGATGTTGTATGTGCATATGATGCTTTTGCAAAGCACTTGCAGGTCAACGACAAAGTACCCGATGATTTCTCCCTCTTTGCTTATATCGATGACAAAGGAATTCCTCAACATATGCTTAAACATACATTCCTTACTTTTTGTTACGGCGTCTGGGAACGAGCGGCAATGCGTCATGTTCTGGGCTATAGTTTCAGAATCGGAGGAGCAGTCGAACTCCTTCTCGCGGGTGTTTCGCCAGAGGTGGTTGCAATGATCAGAGGTTGGACCTCACTGGCCTTTCTTCTATATTGGAGACATATGGAACACATCATCCCAACACATTTGGCAAAGGCTTATTCACAGACTCAAATTGATGCTATTTCGGACAACATAGAGCAATATAGAAAGAAGAATAAAGTTAGTAATGAACTTATCACTGCTTGTATGGCTGGTTTAGATATTACCAACGTTTCGGACGATACTTAAACTCTCATACTTCCTTTTGCACACAGAAAATACATATAATTTTGGCTGTTAATAATCAGAGTCCTCAGCTCTATTCGGGGTACAACTCCAATAGTTATTCGGAGTGTGCTGGGAAGGAGCCTCGGGCTCTGTCTGGGTGACTCGCACTCTCCTCATTCATGGTGACATGCCTAAATTTTGGCTAGACGTCTATGCTGTGAATTGTGACATTTTCACACATAGATTTGTATCGAGAGGACTGTAATTGAGACCCAGATTGACAGTCAAAGTCGATACTGAATCAGTCTAATAAGTTGAAGGGACCATATACCCATACTACCACAAGTTGGTTAGTTTACCCATCCCCGATACTACCTTCGGATAGCAGTCTACCTGTTTGTCAAGCAGGATTATACCAGACTCGGACTACATCCAAAGGATGACCATTCACGTATGACATACCAAGGGTATTCTTATTGGACCTTACACTGGCAAGAGTTTGGAAGAACTTACTCAAGTGACCATGAGCCGAGGATTGACTCGAAATGACTTTCTAGAACTCAGGAATTATCAAATACTCCTTCTAGAACGAGATCATGCATTAATCTAAAAGACTGCGATTTAGTCTAATAGACCAATCAAGTTGCATGGTTGAGGAAAATGACTAGAAGAACGATCAAAGTACTGCGAGGCTCCGAAGACATATCAAATGAATGTCAAAGAGTCCTGACATAGAAAATATTGAAGAATGCAATTAAATGAATGCTATGCGTAACTCCCTTGATAGAGTATAGGCACATTGGGTGTCTGTTGAAAGAGAGAAGCAATTAGTTTAATCCAGATGAAACAGATTGATAGGATTAGAATCGAGGAGAGCTGATTTGCCTCCGGACGAGGTGACAAATGATCGAAGTAAGTGTTGAACAGCAATGACAGTTGAACACCATTCGAGTCATTCTCCAAAACAATTAAATTAAATGAATAACGAAGTACCTACCTATGTTTGGAGGTATACTTGAATCTTGGAACCATTATGGACCAAATAAGGACATGTAGATTCAAATTAAATGGTATCAGACCGAGTGTAGAAGTTTCCTTGCGGTTCCGAACGTTTATTGTATTAAATTAATTGTACTGTGCGACTCTATATTCTGTATGTATAAATAGCGATCCAATGTATCTGGAATACAAGTGATTTTGGGATGACGTTGCAGTGCTAATCTGTAAAAAGGAAAGACACACTCCCGCCAGACTGAAACCTCTTCGCTAGCAGCCATTCGGGCCCGGCACTTGTGAGTATAGGAACATTGTGTTCTGCTCCTTGTGACTGCAAGAAGTATATCCAGTTGTTGGGTATTCTTCGAACTTAGGATCAGTTGTTGGTCTTAAGGGCAAATCACGCTGTGTGGTTGTGCCAGCACATAGTTCTAGCCCTCCGTAGGGGTCTGTGTGTTTCGGTTTCAATTTACTTTGATTCAAACCCCCAATTCTTGATATACCCATATCAATACAATCAAAGCACAAATCGTGCTGAATCTACCTTGATCAAAGGAATATATTGAATCCTTAGAACGATTCAAATTGATTGATTAAAGCTTCTTACTTAGCTCTCAAAGCTTTGCGGAACCTTTGCCAACACTACCCCTTGCTATTAAATAAATTTGATAGCAGTGAACTCGCATATTGTGTATTAGATTGGTTGGTTGGAGTGCCCATTAGATTCCTTCCTTTCTTTTTCACACAAAAACGAGGCAAGCTCGTTAACGGGTGGGAGCGCGGGACTTCGCCCCTAGGCAAAACCTTCTTATATACTGATACTAACTATTATATGAATATCTAGGTATACATATAAGCTCACTTGAATAACTTATTCCGAGATAAGATAAGGAGTGGCGATGAGTGTTATTAGGTGCTCGTCCGTTCTCACTCACGACACTCATTGCAATACACCCCACAATCCCATCTTTCGTCGTAATCCCACCCTCCCTCCCTTTCTTTATTTCAGTGTCTGACGGGTAAGCTACCACAGCTCAGACACTCCGGGCTCAGAAGTCTCCGCTTAGCAGTGTGTTGCCCACCCACGTGGGACTTCGCCCCCAGGCAAAACCTTCTTATATACTGATACTAACTATTACAGTCGACTCCCTCTTAACCCATACCCCTATAAACCCATACTCCCTTATACTCCATACATTTTCTGGGTTACCGACCTCGTTTGCAGGGAAATGCCATGCATAACCCATAACTCTCCCATACCCCATAATCCATACCTTTTTGGGGGTATTCTCCGCTATATTTTCACCCATAACCCATACCTTGATTGCTATCATTGCATTTGATACTCCCAAAATGGGATCAGTAAGTAGACAATTGGCACAAAATTAATACAAAACCAATAAAATGGTCGATTTACACTAATTTTGAGCTAACATAACCCATGATAACCCATGTATGAGGTGTTACAGCTCCCAATTAGGCAGATTGTCACATATGTCACTTGGTGTGACCACCCCATAAACCCATACTCTCCCATAACCCATAGGTCTGGACCTCCACGGAGGGGTATGGGTTAAGAGGGAGTCAACTGTATATGAATATCTAGGTATACATATAAGCTCACTCGAATAACTTATACAGATGAATATCATCATGTAAACAATTGATGATTTCATACTTTCAAATTCACATGATCACAAACTCGCTATGTATAAATCTTGCGTCGCCTCAGGTCCCATCTCAACATCAACCATCAATTTGATTCTAATGTCAACGCTCAGTCAAGAAAATATTCTCCAATACCTCAGGCCTCATCGAAGAGAGCAGTTCCAAACATGGGACTCAGAACGAAGAAATCTGTTAATCGACAGATTGCAGGTGACAGCTGCAGTACCGCTATCAGAACCCGTACTCATTTGAGTTCTTAGGCCTGTATACCTTTCCTCAAGCACTTTCCAGTTGCTGCTGATGCACTTCCGTCACACCTCTTACGCATTGACAGCGGAATCCTTCTCCACTTCGGTTGGATAATAGACAAAAACGAACTTTGCGAACTGGCAATAAAGTCCTTCCCTGAGGCTGTTCATCGTGACAACAATCTTGCGCCGATTCCTGGAGTAACAACTTTTTTTGTGATCGGCCCCATTGCAGAGGCCTGCAAATTACCCGGCCTTTCCATTCAAAGATGCCGTATTGGCCCTCATGAATCCGATGTTAATCATCTTGTACTTTCTTTGGCGAGCAACTCGAATTTTGAGCGACGAATGGAAGAGTTATCAAAGGAAGGGATCGATAAATTGAAGGAGATGGTCAGATTACAAGGACCTCCGAGGTGGTTTGTTCATCACGACGTGTATATCTGGCTATCTTTCGATCCTGTATAGGTTTGACCTTGTTCCACCTGTCGCTCAGGATTCATCATCATGCTAATATTATAAATGCACACATCCATATCTTCTGAATTTCATGGACTTGTGCTGTGATTCCTTTACATGTCAATACACCAGAGTCCACACTCCATGACCTCTGTCCAGCATGGAGGATGGAGATTGGGTTTTCTAGGCAAGATAGAATGGACAAAGGGAGACCAGTACTATAGTTTTACATTTGTAGATTCAGTTATAAAGCAATTTCCACATCCCCTCTTGCTAAATAACCATACACCTCCGGGCTCATTCGGTATTTGAGTAGTCCCGCATACACCATTAATGCACGACTTTTCTTTCGCAGGATTGCAAGCGTCGCATGTCTTTGTGCTTCCCCAGCATGAACTCCTCCACCTGAACAAACAAATGTAACATGTTAATGTAAGTAGGAATACCAAAAGGTGGACACAGACCGGATTTTATTTTGGAAGCAACACCGGACAGGGCATCCATACACAGAACAAGATACACTGGTAAACACCTCTGCAATGCTTCGTGCTGCTGGGTGAATTCTTCCGCTTTCTTTGTTACCTTCATTACGTCAACCTCACTCTCTTTACCGCTTGTGGTGGCAACATCTAGGGGGACTAGGGCGGTGGATTCAATAATCTCCAGAGCTCGTTCGACGTGCCCATCCCGTCCCCTCTCACTTGCTTCTAGGATTTTCAGCAATTTTACGCACGCATCACGATCTTTTCCGCCTGTGTTGGATCCACTGGGCCCAGAGACACCAAGCCCGGTGCCTCGACCCAAGCGTTCGTACACAGTGAGGATTTCGCGAGCAGTTTTTTCCAGTTCCTTCGTCCGGTCCTGTTGGTCTCCAGTCGCGGACCAAGTCATTCCTCCTGCTCCTAGGCCCGAGGTCGTGCTTCCAGATGTGACCAAGTTACCAAGCGCTTGGGCGAGACAGCCGACAACAGTGTCATATTCGCCTGCTAGGTCGTACAGCTTGATTGCTTCGGTAAGACGATCATTTGAGAGTAGAGAAGACGCGGTGGGAAGGAGAATTTGTGATTTGTAGTCGGAAGTCTGGAGAGTAGGAGGTCCGAAAGAAGACGATGAAGATAGCGCTTGCGGAGATGGGTAGGTGTTGGAAGAGGAGGATAGTGAGAGACGGAGAAGAGGCAAGTGAGTGGGGATCACACCAGGCTAGATTATTTTCATGATTTACCGCAGTTCAAAAGAAATAGGACGAAAAATCCACTCACGAACCGCGTTCCATCTCCCCTTACGCCACCAACAAGTTCTTCCCACATCGGTCCTCCGTTTGCCATCACGATGATCCTCCTTACAAGTTCCCATGCCGCCTCTAGTTGTTCGCGACCAACGCCAGGAGGCGAAGGCTGATCGGCGGAGAGCGGAAGGATGTAGACATACTGGAGCAGATGATCAAATTATTGTCCCAATCCTTAAATGAGAGGAGGCATACCTGTAATCCTTCTTTTGCATCCATCTTGACGAACTGTCGGATATACCGCCATATAAGAGTATGCAGTGCCAGAGAGGGTATATGTTGGGCTCCGGTGGTAGAAGGGGAAAGGGTCACTAAGTTCACACAGCATTTGTATTACTTCGAGGGAGAAGGAAAAGGAGAGCCCACATATATCAACATCACTCCCTTCTGCTTTACTCGAAACTCTCAGCAGTCCGTGATATGCAAGCGCTACGGCAAGGTGTACGGCTTCGACTTGTAAGCTTCCTCCCGAATCATGATCCCAAAGAGATGCGACGGCCTGCGAAAAATTTTAGTGATGCGCTGCGTTTGTGAGAATTCAAGAAGAACAAACGGATATATGAATAATAAATGAGCGGAAAACTAAGAACTCACTCTTTCGAATTGTCCACACATCAACAACACACTGGCCCAAAGCCCCGACTTTTGCCCTCCGGTTCCTGTAGCAGGCTCGAAGTGCCTCTCTCCATAAGCCAGCAAAACTTTGGTTAAAGAAGCCAATGAACTTTCATCATTTTCATCGCTAGAGCTTTCGTCGACCATAGCGAACTGCATCCACAACCAGTCTTCAGTTGTGGTGGTGACATTGGGTATACTCCGCCGCGCAGCATCGAGCCGCGCAACGAGTTTATACAGAGCGAGTTTGAACGGATCCGTTGTCTGAGCCTGTAACATGTGCGCATTATATACCCCAGCAAGCTGATCCCGTATGGATCGAGGGAGGGAGCGCTCAGTCGAGTCAGCCCAGATACGGAAAGCGTCGATAAATCCTGGTTCGCGTGCATCGACGGCGTCTTTGACGCGCATTAGCACTTGGAATGCCTCTGAGACCTCTCCAACTCGGACGAGGAAGAAAACTTGCGCCCAGACTGGTGTGCCTTTCACCAACTCTAATCCTGATAACCATTCTCCTTGTCGGTAAAACCTCACGGCACAGAAGGCCCGAACCAGGTTAGCGGTCGAGGGATCCCCTCCTAGCTGGGCTTCAGATGGATGGGAGTGGACAGTTCGCTGGATGATGGAAAGATATTGTTCTTCGAGCGCTTGACGTGCCCCAGACGCGATTTGTTTTCTTAGTGAAATCGCCGGGGTCTGAGAAGTGAGATATGCCTTCGCGTACTTCCGCTCAAAAACGGGGGAGTTAAGTATGTGAGCAGAGGCATGTTCCAACGGTGGTAGTGATGGTGGCTCTTGGGTGATATTAGCGAGAACAGTGAACATGAAAACTATTTGATTGTTGCTGTTTGCCGCGTCGATCAAAGCATGGACGATAGGGAATGATGTCCCTCCAAGTCGTGCAGAGTTGAGAGCAACGATTGTGCGGTCGTAGGCAAGCATTTTGGTGTGCATTTGGAGTGAGAGTGGAGCGGATGATGACGCCTGTTTCTTCATCGTTGAACTCGACATTCCCATAGTTGAGGCCGCCAAAGACGTAGACGCTGCTACAGGTACAGAGGCTCCCAGCTGCTCGAATAACCTCTTCTTCTTTACCTCCCAGTCTCTCGCTGTTCGGTCTTCCAACATACGGTAGAAGCTCTCCTGGGTTTCCTTTCTGCCATGTTCGATCGTACTAATAAGATTTTGCTCATGAGCGTGTCGGAGAAAGGAGGAAACATCAGTGTCTTGTAAAGGTTGCAAAGAAGAAGAAGAAAAAGTGGTCGATGCATTGAGATGAGCGATGGACTGGCTTAGAGCTGAACCGTTTACTGATGCCTGCGCAAGAAGATAGTTTCTTTTTGGCTAAATTAGAGAAGGACAGGGTGAATAGTACAGCGACTTACGCTTTATCCACATCTCCAGCTGCATTGTGTTTTGACACCAACCTCCGCGACTGAGCTTCGATTTGTTCAAGAGAAAGATTCACTGACGGCAAATCGGGTGGTTTAGAGTTCAAAAGGTGTTTTGTCAAGTCTTTGGAGGCGGAAAGGATAGAGGAAAGGTCGGTCGATGCCAGGTTATTCATTCTGCAAAAGAGCGGGGTTGAGACGCGCTTAGGCGAGCACGGATGATTGAGTTATCAGTTTATAACTATCATGTCCGCGAAAAAATGAGAACGATGCGTGTTATTGTAAAGTCTGATCCTCACCACTGATTTAATCGCTTCCAGTAGTAGCGTTTGCGGATGGCGACACTCGAGGAGCAACTCTGGAAATCTGTGGACAGGACCGTGAGCAGGATCTACCAGAGAGAGACAACAATCAGTTCTACGTATTCAGAGGATTTTGCAGGTTGTAACTAACAGCTGGTGTACCGGCACTGGGAAGAACTTTCAATTTTGTGTAAGCGCCCGTGTTCAAGACTCCAACCAATCACTAGCACTATTGGCTTCATGCGCACATTTTGACACGTCTTGGTATGTCCTTCACCAGAGCTATGCCAACGAAATTTCGTCTATGAGTAAATATTGACCTTGCAGAGGTACATAGACGGCTGCGCTCAGAATATGGCTCTGCGATTCAGTCCGGAACGGAAATCGCTGAGACCGTGGCGGAAGTCCCCACAAGGACTCCTGATACTAATAGGACCTGATACCGATTCCGCATGATCTTTCTCCAGATTACAAGAATCGTTTGCACTTGCTTCAACGTTCGCTTACACGAAAACTTGCCAATGAAACCAATGCGGGAAGACCGAGTTGAGCTTCTAATGACTTGTTGAAAATGCTTGCGTTAATAATAAGTGGTGCTCGCGCTGCTAAATCCCACTATTCGGTATGGGCCTCCATACAGGTCAAGATATTGGCGGATCCTCCACGTCTCCTCGCTTCCTCATTCTGGATCGTTTCTGAACTCCTCTCAACAGGCTCCCCTCCGACTAGTACTGACTGATCCCAATTTAGAAATGCTGGAAAATGTGATCTTTACATCCATCGACCGTCCTTCTCAACCTCTCTGTTTATTGAAGGTGAAGAAGGCTATAGCATGGGATGGTCTGCAGGAATCGGATCGAATGGTTTTATATCCCGTTCATCCTGCCGTCTGACAACAAGACTCTCCAAGTTCATACCTCTCTTGGATTCCGATCTCATTGATCTTCTTCAGCACCTACTCTACTTCACCTCACGATTGCCAACTCCGAATTTGACCAGAGGCCCCAGCTCATCCAAAGTCTACATGCCTTACATCACAGTACTAGCACCGTACATTTCTCCGCGGTGCTTGTAAAAGGCTGCAAAGCCTTTCTCTCAAAACCAAACTCGATCGCGGCCGAGGAATTCGTGGGTCGGAGTTTTGTCGATAGATGGTTCTCTGCTGCTTGTACTAGTGGTTATGGTCTGGATAATGAACAGTCGTTGCATTCCGGAAGTGGAACTGCGTGTTTGCGCTCTGTTGTATTGCTGTTCGCAGATACGAATGCGGATGAAATGATATATGAGTTACTGGAGTCTCTGGAAGAGGATGATATGCAGCCCGTGATCATTGAAAAGACCGTTCGAACATCCTTGCGTGTTAAAATCGTTACCTCTTCAACTGGAGTTTATTCCAGCATCAAAAACTGACTCCGCAACATTCTTCGCAACATAGGAGTATGTAGAGGCAAGTAATGCTTTGACCTTCCAAAAATGGTATTCGCGGGAGGTCACGGAACAGCCGGCATCCACCGAACCATCAATATCTGCATCCTCTTCTACATCCTCGTTTCGATTTCATTTTTCTTTCCCTAAGTGTGTACTGGGTGCTACTTTCTCCAAATGAAACTCAACTAATAGACCACTCTCATTCAGGACATGGCATCCAAAACAGCCGCAGCGGTGGTTGTGAGTATTCGAATTTTCGAGACCTGGCAAGACGCGGGGGGATATTCACACTGGAATCAACGTTTTTAGGACTTCACCCGCATTTACACTTCTCTTGGTCTAGGAAAGGGTGCGTTCCAGAATTTTAAAATCTGGTTGTGCAAACACCGACCAGCGTAACACGAACAGAGACCATTGCCGCCCTCCAGGCTTTCCGTAAGCGCCACGGTGAAGCTCAGCGCGCACAAGCTACCTATTCAAATCAACCAACCACTGTCGACTTCTCCCACTATCGCTCTGTATTGAAGAACAAGGCTATCGTGGACGAGGCCGAGAAACTGCTAAAGGACTTCAAGCCCGTTACCTACGACGTTAGCGAACACATCAAGGCGATTGAGGCTTTCGAGGCCAAAGCCGTACGTGCTCAATTTTCTACTGCACTGCACTGTGGGATTTTTGGCCCGTGGCTCAAGTCGAAATGTTTTTGCTGTCGCATTATAGGTCTCTACAGCGAAGGAAACAGAGGAAAAGATTGACGTGGAGCTTAGGGATTTGCAGGCAACTCTGGCGAATATTGAGGAGGCCCGTCCCTTCCAGGATCTTACGGTGAGTACGATGCTCGAAATGAAGGAGGAATTAGGAATTAATTGTGCTGTTCTCTATTTCAGGTTCTGGACATCGGCGAAGCCCACCCACGTATAATCGAGACGGTCGAGACGATGATGAAGAAAGGCAAATGGAGTGTTCCCGGTGAGTGCTTTTTTCACTTTCACGCAGTCACAGTATTCTTAATAGATATATAGGCTACAAGGAGAAGTTCGGCGATCTCAATCTCATGTAATTGTTATACTCACCTAGATATTCTTACATGAGAAACACATTGCTTTCGAACATCTGTATACATGCTTTGACGACACCGCGCGCGTGTTCGACGGTTTCAATTTTAACGAGAGGCTCTCAGGAGACTACACTTCCTGAGTGTGTCCCTTTCTCGACGTCCATAATACAATGTCAAAAATGTGTCGGGGACGCCCGTTCCAGGGTTCGGGGTCTTTGAGTTGAGGTTCCGCGACTATATCTGCATGCTACCTGTTTCGATTTCAATTTGATTATATGTTCCAATCGCAGAGCTCGGGATATCAAAGAAAAGTTGGTGCTGTAGCGGCGCAATGCAAATAAACTGTCGATTATCTTAGGGCATATGCTACACTAAGGTACTAGGAACGCTGCAGTGCAACAGCTCAACATGATTATATCTTCTTCAGTTGAGCGCCTTGAGTCAATCCCAAGTTGAATAGCATGGGTCGAACATTTGGCATAGACTCGGTGGTTTATCACGTCTGTCTCACATCATGAAAGGCACAGGAGGTCCCCGGTTCGAGACCGGGCCGAGTCATTTGTTTTGTTCTGCTTTTTGTCCAATTATGTGCTACGTGGGAGTGGAGAAATGATGTCACAGGCACACCTTCAATGACCTCCTAAAGTGGCTCGCACCGGAATTCTTGGCGGCGTTTCCAAGTGCAATTTTTTAGTCGTTGGCATCCCTCTCCTCACACCGACTAACTGCTGCTACTTAGGTTGAAGTTGGCTAATTGCAATACCATATCACCTCAGAGTCAAGAGAATAGCCACAGCAGAGTTACAACAGAGTTTTTTAAATTAAGAACTCCCTCGTCACTTCATTGTGGAGTCTTCGACGCTTCGGTAAGTAAAATTAATACCATGGTTCGCTTCTGAGCTGAGGGCTCCAATTCTCCGACGTTTGATTGACTGTTGATTGATTGCATTGGGGCGACCGCTATGTATATAGGACTTGGACTTGATAACAGGAAGCCGGATAGATCCCGGAACAACGACAAACTGGATTGGGAAGTCATTGAGGCAAGAGCAGTATCACAGGGTCAGCGGAAATCACCAGAAATATGGCTGGGAGTATTTTGGATTCAAACTCTTCTCCTACGTCGTTGACTGCTGCGGGCAAAAGGCCAGAAACTACCTCCAACGATTCTCATAATCAGCCCTACTTGGCGCCTAATTCTCACAATCCCCGTACTTTCCCCTCAACGCTCTCTCTTGACGATCACGATCACGACGTTGCGTCACCACCATACAGGCCAGAAGCTAGCACATCCAGTTTGCACGGTCAAGACTTGTTGCTGCACCCCAACCATCCATATTCCAGTTATCCTCCTAGTCCAGCGTATAGATCGCAGGCAAATATGTCAGACGAACTTCACCTAGATGGTGACCGTCGCGCTACTGGAGACACTAAATGGGAGGGAGAACTCAGTGACACGAAACCTAAGGTCCATTATCCCGACATAGAACCGGTCCCCGTTGTTTCCGGTGACGCCATTTCACCAGCCGCGAACAAAGGTCACCTTCGACTGGACGAAATGCCTTCAAGGGATTTCAACCGTTCTGGAACAAATAGTCCGGCAGATGCGATGTCGCTCGCTGGAACGGACGACGAAGAAGACGATAGTGATTATGACTGGAGCGGTGAAGATGATCTGGTTGACGAAGAAGCCAAGTTTGAGCAGCAGATGGGTGTTAAACCCAAAAAAACAGGGTGGGGATTCAAAAGAATTGTCACTTTACTCTTTTCCTCTCTCCTCGGCTCCACACTCGTTGCCGGAATTCTCGTCACACCCGGTATTCTAATTCACTTTTATTGGTTCAATAACAATCCTACCTCTCACCGAAAATACGTTGAGCAAAACGTTCAAGCATGGCTTTTCTGGGCTGCTGCGAACCTTCTCTTATCCTGGTACCTCGCTGTCATCGTCGATCTTGTCCCGACTCTTGCCACTTTCATAATCGCCGCTGTATGGGGCCATGTTTCCGAGGTATTCAAATCTCGCGTCGAACTGTACAACTCCGTCAAAAACACTTTCAAGCCTGTTTTGTACGCGGCTAGTGCTTGGGCAAGCTGGGTTATCATCTTTGGACACATCTTCAATCTGTATGACACCGTAGACACAAGCCAAAGCCGGGCTGGATATACGCAGCGACTTTATCAGGTGGTAGAATTTCTTTTTTTCTTCGTCTTGGTGATTTGCGCGCAGAAGATGCTCTCGCACGCTATCGCGTTCGCGTTTCATCGTACGGCGTTTAAAGAACGTCTCGATGAAGTGCAGTATTCTTTGAAAGTTATCGAGCAGCTGCGGAATTATAGGCCCAAGCATGATCGTTTTGGCAGACAATCTGGTGCCAGATCCAGTGGTTGGGCATGGGGTACGCCAGTACTAGAAAAAGCCGGATTCGGCTTCGGGAAGAGCCATAATAAAGGACTTTCGTCCTCTCGTCTACATTCACATCGAGGCACAGAAGAAGATGGTTATGGTGCCGATGCAGACAATGACTATGATGATCGGACTGTGGTGGGTACATCGTCCAGAAAATCTACTTTAGGAAGCACATTCGGGTTCTCTAACAAAGGCAAGAACAAGAACAAACGACAATCTGGTAACTTCCCCTCTCCCTCTGGAGGTGGTGATCACGAACTCGGTGTATTCTCTTCTGCTACGTCCCCTCACGGACGTTCCCCGAGCTCTCCTTCACCGGACACCAGTCGCCCTATGACACCCTCCACTGCGGCTCCATTCATTTTCAACCACACAAATTCTCCCGCTGGTATATCCCCTTCGGAGAACGGCGGTCGCGGCACTCCACATCGCTATCCCCCAGGCTCAGGCATGAACACCGCCTCTCCGCGCCCCTCCCTCGACTCCAATCACGGAGCAGGCGCTTCCGAGACACTCGCCGCAGCAGCCAAGGTTTTGAAATCTGCCGTCCTCCACGATGCGCGAAATATTCGCGGAGATGCCGATCAAATTGGGAATGGTGGTGGTGGCGCCATAGGCCTGGGTCATGTCGGGTCGAGTTCAGAGGCGAAGAGATTGGCGAGGGCGATTTATCTCAAATTCCGACCCCTTGGACAAGGCAGGACGTATCTCCTACCCTCAGATTTTCACCCTGCGTTCCCTGATACGACTACCGCCCAAGCAGCTTTCAGAGTGTTTGATAAAGATAATAATGGGGATCTGTCTCGTGCTGAAATCAAGACTACGCTACTCAAAGTGTATAAGGAACGTCGGTTCCTTGCTCGGTCTATGCGAGACGTTGGAATAGCACTCAAAAGCTTGGACGGGATTCTCTTGTTCTTTGCGCTGGTTATCGTATTCTTCATCAGCTTGTCGGTGTTCGGTGTACAAGTTGGTGACTCTCTGAGTAGTGTCTATACCCTGGGTATTGGTGCGAGTTTTGTCTTCAAGGCTAGCGCGAGTAGCGCTTTTGATGCTATAATGTTCTTGTTTGTAACACAGTCAGTGATCTTTCTCGAATTTTCCTCACTTCGTCTGATCACTTCGTTTTCAAACTAGCCCTTATGATACCGGTGATCGATGCTTCATTGATGATGAAATTCTCGTGGTGAAAAGGATGGGCCTGTTCGCTACGGTTTTTGCACGAGTGGACGGGACGGAGACGTACTATTTCAACAGTCAACTTTTCACAAAGTTCATGTGAGTGCCCTGATTCCACAACTCTACTGGTATATCTTTCTTACTCACTTCATCACAGTACCAACGTCCGTCGTTCCGGCCAAATGTACGAAAATGTAACTCTTCAACTCCATTGGCGGACCCCACTAGCTAAACTCGACGCTCTCGAGAAATTCTTGAACAATTGGCTGCAGACAGAGCAAAATCGATGGTTCGTACCGAGTACCGCGATAATGTTGCAAAGTATCAATTTCCAGAGATACCTGGAAGTGACGATTGGGATTGGGCACAACGGGTGAGTTTTCTATACTGTACAACATATCGGACACTGACTGACTGCATTTTCTTCACTGATCGCAGAACATGGCAAGATTGGGGCCTCCGTTGTGCTCGTAAAACTGCTTTTCACGCTGCTGTTCAACATTACACCCGTATACTCGGCATCGTCTGCTACGAGTCAACCCAACCAATTGTCTACAATAACTCTTCCGATTCCCCCGCAATAAATATCTTGAACGACGGCAGCGTTCCTCCGCCTTCACCTGGGGGTTATGGTGGCTGGTCGGGATCCGGTGGGTATGAACTGGAACCAGGTCCAGATGGTGGTGTGGACATCGTCTACGGAGGAAATGGCACTGGTGCCACCGCCGAAGGTACGAATACCATGTCACCCGCTGCGGCAGCAGCTCTTGGTGTAGGTGAAAAGGAGAGTGGACTGAAGACTGCACTCGGGTTTACACCTCCTGAGGGCTTGGTTGGCGCGCATCTGAGAGCAAGGAAGACGAAGAGTAGGAAGGTCATGGTTGGGTTGGCTGGAGATGGGTGAACGTGGAAATGAATGTATGGCTGGTATCATATGAGGGCCAACCTCAAACAAAAATGAAATACGAAACGAATTGGATATTCATCTACACACATATATTTACTATCACGTATAGACTCTTCAGTAGCATTATTTCTTAGCTCTTCCTGCGCATTTTTTTCAAGTAATCATCATGCTGGCTTAACAGATATATAATGGTTATGCGTTAGTCAATCCTAAGATAGACGTCATTGCGAGTCATCTGTCATTGTTCCCCAGGCGCAGAGCAAAAACAAATTCAACACTCCAGAGTGAGTGCATCTTGTATTTTGACGACCGCAATGACAGATGATAGGGTAGATAATTCTTGTAAGTACCTTTAAATTGTGAGGACAATTGCACCAGAAAGCAAAAGCCTCCGAAGCGTTTGCCGTTCAGTTTGTAAGTGAAGACGCACGTCAAGGTTGCAACGTCGAGTAATGATTGGGTGTCCGTGGTTGAAAGTTTTTCCAGAAAAATTGGTACTAGGCTTTGGTAGTCAATTAATGATTACCTATGATTACTGAGTTTCTACAGCAAATCAATGATGTCATACCTCTGGCCTCAGTGTTTTAACGCCCGTGCACTGCCACAGTGTTAGTCATCATTGAAGAAACTTAAATGGGGCCACAGCTAGTCATTAGTACAGATATAAAAGGTGAAAGCTAGTTTTTTAGCATGATTTCATAGATCTGTATGATTGGCAACATATGTAACAGAGACATTAAGATCAGACTGTTTTTCAATAAGGCCAAATTCTAGTAACTCCTTATCATCTTCTTCCTGTAATCCTTTTCTGGGCAGGATAGGAACTAAAATGACATCTCTCCCCCCTCAGTTCCTAGAAACATTGTCAATTGAGTAAGTGAATAATTGAATTCCCATTTCAGTTACAAATACAAGACTCACAATCCCCCGCTTCAAGATCTCTCCCTGGGAGGGGTTAGAAGTGAGTAACATGGATGGAACAAAAATACTAACTATGAGTTGCAAAATCTGTAATTTAAACACTCCTCCCTGGTAAATCCTTTGCAGGATTGAAAAATAGGCTTTTTTGCTAGAAAATGTAATTTTGTTGCCTGATTGTTTATTTTGGTTGATCTATGCAGCATATTAGTTACTTGAATGACATGTAACCCACTCTGAAAAGGGGTTGAGAGGAGGAAAACAGCTTACAAGGTTAGCCAATATTTCCAAATGTTCAAGCATGCTCATTGTTATTATTTGGCTGGGTGGGATGGGGCACAGGGATGGGGGGAAGGCAAGTGGAAGGCAGGTTCTGTATTTATTCTCTATATTGTGCAGATTGAATCTACATATCTATGCATATCAATGAAGAAAATTTCATTTTCAATACATTTTCAAGTCTGTTGGAATGTGATAAAAAAGAAGCACAAAATAGGTAAGTATGTATGTATACTTCCATATATATGCTGTATATTACATACATGCTATTTACATAATACTACATAGATCTAATATAGGCTTGGCTCCCCTCTCAGCTAGCTATGGGGCATATCATGGGACTGTTATGGAGCTTTTTCCATGCTTTGACTACTTACATAATCACTGACATCCTGGTGCTTACTAAGAACATTGATTGCTTTGACTGCTTACTAATCACTGGGAACCCAGACTATCTCTTTGCTCTGATTTGTATAGTAGGAAGAATTTACTCAAGTGACTATGAGCCAAGGATTGACTCAAGATGACTTTCCAGAACTCAAAAATTCTCAAACCTTCTAGAATGAGATCATGTATTAATCTAGAAGACTGTGATTCAGTCTAATAGATCAATCAGATTGCATAGTTGAGAAAATAACTAGAAAGAGAATCAAAATACTGCAAGGCTCCAAAGACATATTAAATGTGTGTCAAGGAGTCATGATGCAGAAAAGATTGAAGAATATAGTTGGAATAAATACTATGAACAACTCACTTGATAAAGTATACACACAATGGGTGTCTATCAAGAGCAAGAAGTAATTAGATTAATCCAGATGAATCAGATTGATAGGATTAGAATTAAGGAGAGCTGATTTGCCTCTGGATGAGATGACAAACAATCAAAGGATGTGTTGAATATCCATGACAGATGAACACCATTTGAGTCATTCTCTAAAAACAATTAAGATTAAATGAATACTAAAGTACCTATCCATGTTTGGAGGTATACTAGAATCTTAGAACCAATATGGACCAAATAAGAATGATTAGATTCAAATTGAATGTTTTATAACTTATTAGAGTAGTTTCCTTGTGGCTCCAAATGTTTATTTCATCAAATTAATTGATTGTGTTGTACTGTTCTGAATCCTGTATGTATAAATAGTGATCAGATGTATCTGGGAATGGAAGTGATTTCAGGATGATGTTGCAGTGCTGATCCATGAAAAGCAAAGACACTCTCTCACCAGACTGAAGCCTCTTCACTAGCAGCCATTTAGGCCTGGTAACGAGCTTGTTTTGTTTTTGTGTGAAAGAGAAAGGAAGGAATCAAATGGTCACTCCAACTAACCAATCTAATACACAATATGCGCATTCACTGCTATAAAATTTATTCAATAGCAAGGGGTAGCATTGTCAAAGGTTCTGCAAAGCTTTTGAGAGCTAAGGAACAGCTTCAACTGATTAATCTGATTATTCTAAGGATTTAATATATTCCTCTTGCTAAGGTGGATTCAGCACTATTGATGTGGATATATTAAGAATTGGGGTTTTAAATCAAATCAAATTAAACACCAAAAACACACAGACCCTTACAGAGGGCTGGAGCCATGTACTGGCACTACTACATAGCATGATTTGCCCTTAAGAACAACAACTGATCCTAAGTCTGAAGAATATCCAACAGCTGGATATAACTTCTCGCAGTCACAAGGAGCAGAATACAATGTTCCTATACTCACAAGTGCTGGGCCCAAATGGGTGCTAGTGAATAGACTTCAGTCTGGCAGGAGTGTGTGTCAAGTCCATGCCTCGGTGCCCCATTCTGCTGCTTGGTATTCCGAGGTTTACTGTTGATTGTAATCTCATCCTTATTGTTCTTTCTCGCTACACATTCCCTTTCTACCTAGGCTCTTCCTTATTGTTTTATCCTTTCTCTTATTGTCTTATTTCTACCCTGCAGGTACTACACGTATAGCTCCTAGTAGTTAGACTGGCGCTCCACCCCGATGCACCGATCCGTAGGTATAAATACTATTAAGATCATGTACACCGTGTAACTGTGCCAGAGGCCACAAGGTGTCTAAGAGCGGGAGGTCGAGTGGGACAGTAGTGAAGTTATTAACAACACCGCTGTTACACCGTTAGTCCCCGGAGATCGATAGTGGAGAAGAGAGCAGCTAGTAGTAGCCAAGTCGGAACGGCGGTATCGCCGACATCGAGGAGCGAACCAAAGAACTTAGAAGTCCTAAGGTTGGAGTAGAACGTACTTCAAGGTGATGAGCCTGAAGACTTAGAGGAGAACTAAGTTGAGGAGGGAATCTAAGTCGATAATTAAACTGAGGAACTACAGTAGCGTACAGGCAGTATTTATATCTACGGATCGGCGCATCGGTGCGGAGCGCTAGACTAGCTACTAGGAGCTATACGAGTAGTATCTGCAGGGTAGAGTAAAAGACAATAAGGAGGGACTAGGATGAAAGGGTATGTGTAGCGAGAAAGAACAATAAGAAGGAGATTACAATAAACGTAGATCTTCAGAATACCGAGCGGCAGAATGGGGCACCGAGGCATGGACTTGACAAATACTGCCTGTACGATACTGTAGTTTCTCAGTTTAATTATCAACTTAGATTACCCTCTTATCATCCTTGACTTGAGTCTACCTCTCTTGTCACTCTCTAGTCTTCAGGCTCGTCACCTTGGAGTACTCTTTATTCTATCCTCAGGACTTACTAGTCCTTTGGTCCACTCCGGCTTGGCTGCTCCTGGCTCTCTTCCTTCTCAACTCTCAATCTCCAGGGACTAGCGGTAACGAGCTTGCCTCGTTTTTGTGTGAAAGAGAAAGGAAGGAATCTAATGGGCACTCCAACCAACCAATCTAATACACAATATGCGAGTTCACTGCTATCAAATTTATTTAATAGCAAGGGGTAGCGTTGGCAAAGGTTCCGCAAAGCTTTGAGAGCTAAGTACGAAGCTTTGATCAATCAATTTGAATCGTTCTAAGGATTTGATATATTCCTTTGATCAAGGTAGATTCAGCACGATTTGTACTTTGGTTTGTATTGATTTGGGTATATCAAGAATTGGGGGTTTGAATCAAAGTAAATTAAAACCGAAACACACAGACCCCTACGGAGGGCTAGAACTATGTGCTGGCACAACCACACAGCGTGATTTGCCCTTAAGACCAACGATTGATCCTAAGTTCGAAGAATACCCAACAACTGGATAGACTTCTCGCAGTCACAAGGAGCAGAACACGATGTTCCTATACTCACAAGTGCCGGGCCCGAATGGCTGCTAGCGAAGAGGTTTCAGTCTGGCGGGAGTGTGTCTTTCCTTTTTACGGATTAGCACTGCAACGTCGTCCCAAAATCACTTGTATTCCAGATACATCGGATCGCTATTTATACATACAGAATATAGAGTCGCATAGTACAATTAATTTAATACAATAAACGTTCGGAACCGCAAGGAAACTTCTACACTCAATCAGATACCATTTAATTTGAATCTACATGTCCTTATTTGGTCCATATTGGTTCCAAGATTCTAGTATACCTCCAAACATAGGTAGGTACTTCAATATTCATTTAATTTAATTGTTTTTGGAGGATGACTCGAATGGTGTTCAACTGTCATTGCTGTTCAACACTTACTTCGATCGTTTGTCACCTCGTCCGGAGGCAAATCAGCTCTCCTCGATTCTAATCCTATCAATCTGATTCATCTGGATTAAACTAATTGCTTCTCTCTTTCAATAGACACCCATTGTGCCTATACTCAATCAAGGGAGTTACACATAGTATTCA